TTGTCTTGGAGATGATGTTGTACTCATGCTGGTTCATTTGACTCAATTGGGCATTGGTTGTTGGCGTATCTTGCTTCACTGGTCCAATTCGCTGAATTGAGTGTTGAGCCTCCATGAGCTCTGTACGAAGCTTGCTGACTTCCAGTTCCAGATTCGTGATTCGCTCAAGATAGATTCCTTCATGGAGTTGTTGTTCTGCTTTCCAGTTGGATAGCTCCTCTGCCATGTGTGCTTGCACTTGTTCTAGGACCACCTGGTACACTTCCTGTTGCTGTGTTTGGGCTGCTTCTAGGGCCCCCACTAACACCTGGGCGTGCTTGCTTGCGTCTAGTAGGGAAGCCTGATGCTTTGGCCTACCAATAAATGACTTTTGTAGAACCCTTCGTTGTCTGATTCCACTTCTAGCCTCGCTGGCCCGGCTGGGGGTCCTGCTGGAACCCCCAGGTTGCCAGCGCTCCTGGTCTTCATTTTCATCTATGCTCATAACCTCCACACTGCTATCACTGAGCATGGGCTGCATCGCATTCCTGGATCGCCGGTGGGTTGGTGTTGGGGTGCCTGGCATGTCTGGCGTTCCCGTGAGCTGGGAGGCCACGTTGCCCACTCCGGGGGGCAACGCGTGCGATATACCACCACCACGGGGTCTCTGTGCCTCCATGGTGGTTTATAGGTGCCAGAGGGCCCCTATCGGTTGATTAACGCGTGAAAATTACGTGTTTTTCGTGGGTGCTGATTTTTGCTTTTCCGAGCCAGATCGTTCATCTCAGTATACATTCATACCAGACCAGAATATCACTCACCATCGTCATCAACTGCGAATCAGCAGTGTTCGTCATTCCCAATTCATAAATAACAGTCGGAAGCACAAAAGATATCCCCCAACCTCCAATGCCATGGGTAATCCATAGTAAAGCAAATGAAATAACCGTAGGATCACGAAGCAAGGTCTTGGCTTCCTCCCATTGGAAGGCTTTTGCTTTCATAGTGGGAGCGTCGCTGGAGAGACCGTCTAGGACGGTTTGCTTTTCGGATTCGGAGAGAAATTGGGATGCTTCAGGGTCTTGTTCAGATTATTAGAAGATGTTATTGAGGCAAAAGGGACTGGTAGACGTACAATCTGGGAGGAAGAAGAAGGTGTAGACACCACAGAGGATGGCAGGGATGCCTTCTAATATAAAGACCTGTTGATGTTAATATACATTCTATGCAGTAGTAGGATTGGTGGTATACCCATCGCCACCCAGAGAGTCCACCTGCTTGGTTCATAAAGGATATAGCGTATGCTATTCCAGTTAGTATATGCATCTTTTATATTAGATAGAAAGACATACCCAATAGTCCACTGATAGTCCCTGAGAATACACCAGAGGCGTAGAAGAAAGCCTTGTTTGTTAATAACATCTCGTACTATGAAGAAGAAGCACCCACCAATCTTAAAGGCATCTTATCTGTATGATACCAGAAACTCAAATGAAACCTATAAATATCAGCATGTATCCAGAATAAACAAGAACAATTAGATAGACATACAAGACACCAGGATAAAAGCCAGCTTCAGCAAGACCGAGAAGGAATCGAGTGGCTAATAATCCGGCATAATTCTTGGTGGCTCCTTGACACATTGATATAACCCCCTTCTAAAATTAGTGTCCAATATACTTGAAGACATGAAAAAGGAATGTATACCCAAGTGATCATGATTCTCGACATCCACACTGACGGTGACCATCTCTTAAGAAGAACAGTTGAAGCAGGTTCGAAGAATAAATACGGATAACTATGGATATCAGCATCAACAAGTCATCCCAAATAAAAAGGAATAGTACATACTAAAAAATACTCAGTGCCCATGCCCACTGCTCACTGGACAAATTCCCCAATTCCTTTTTAATTCCATTGCCCTCCTCGGAATTGATAATAGCCGTGTTGGAGATGTTGGTCACATCGATTCGCATAATCAGGTACACAAACGAGTACCATAGTAGAATTCTTAGATCAGTCTGGCGATGGATCTGTTGCAGATTTCGATCGGGGGGTTCATGGAATATTTCAATGTCTTCTTCTGTGGGTGAGAGGGTAGGCTTTTTGTCGCGGTTGCTTTGTATGGTTGTCATTATGGGTGTATTTGCTTCAACATTGCCATTTCGAGCGACATGTTCTGTTGTGCCTATTTGTACTCTGTACGGAGTGTTTACTGAAGTATGTGATCCAATGCAGTGATCACGACAGTAGAATTATACCCCGCTCTTATTTATTCTTATAGATTCGGCCGCCCGACTGGCAATCTAACCAATCAAGCATTCTCGTCCACTAAAGTCATCATCACCGGGATGTTTTTCACCATCTCCAGCCGTGATCTATCATTTGTCTCTCTCAAACACTCCACTTCAATTCACCAAAATAAATACTGGATAGTATATGAAAAGAGGGGTTACCTCAAGCCATTAATGATAATATATAATCAATGACTAGGCCGAGTCTGGCTTTTCGTAACCAGATCTACCTAGCTACACACACAGTTACAAGTATACAATGGCTCAAGTCACTAGCCAGCCAGGTCTACCACCTCAGGCAGGCTCTTCGAGCCCGGTTCTCAAATATGTCCAAGTCCCTGAGACAAAGCACGAGCGTATGTTGTTTAGCATAGTTGATGGGGTATACATTAACTGATTGGATAGTTGACTGGGCTGATCTCGTCACTTTGGACCTATCCCAGTATGATACTCCAGGTGGGAAGCAGAAGCTGGCTACGCAGTTGAAGGATGCGGTGCAACGAATTGGTGAGTGCTCTCTCTCTACTTCCTGGTAATACATTCTAAATTACTAATATAAACGCGATAGGATTCTTCTACATTACCAACTTTGGTCTCTCCCAAGAAGAAATCGACCACCAATTCGCCATCGGTCAGGAACTCCTCCAACTCGAAGAATCTGAGAAACTTCGACACCGCGCCAACCTCGAGGTCGGGAGCTACAATGGATATCGACCACTCGGGTCTATTGAAATCCTACCGGGCCGGCGCGACAACGTGGAGATGTACAATATTTTCAAGTTCGTCCCGCAATACAAAAGGTCTCATCCGGAAGTGATCCATCGCCACCGGGAAGAGATCGAGCGGTTCCACCGATATGTTCATGAAAAGATCGTGCATAGACTGCTCCGTCTGATCGCGATTGTCCTCGAACTCCCTGAGGACTTTCTCATCGATGGTCATAGCTACGAGGGAAACAGTGACTGCCACCTGCGGTATATGATCTACCGCGCACGTAGCGCCGCGGAGAATGCCCGATACGAGAATCTCTATTCACGCGGACACACGGATTTCGGCAGTTTGACCCTGCTCTTCCGCCAACCCATCGCCGCGTTGCAGGTCAAGACGCCCGACGGCCAGTGGAAATACGTCAAGCCCTACCCGGGCAGCATCACAGTGAACATTGCCGACGCGCTGCAGTTCTGGACCAACGGGTTCTTGAAAAGCAGCGTGCACCGGGTCGTGGCGCCCCCCGCGGACCAGGCGCATATCGACCGGTTGGGGGTGATGTATTTTGTTCGGCCGGGGGATCACTTGGATCTGAGGCCTGTGAATAGTCCGCTGCTTAGGCGGGAGGGATTCTATAAGGAGGGTGAACAGCAAAATGAGGTCACGGCTGGGGATTGGGTTAGGGCAAGGGTAAGGAAGAATTGGGATAAGCCTGGTGATCGGAAGGAGAATATTTCTGTTGGTGGTGTTCAGGCAAGGCTTTTTCATGAGTAGTTAGCCAGCTAGCTGGTACAATCCGACTTTCAAATCTACGCCTTGCTATGTGTCAATCTCAAAAGACACTATAGTAATGAATTTGCCAGGCTTGCAACCTGGTTCGGTATGTTTTCAGTGACCTTCCACAAACAGATATACAACTAGATCACTTGAAGCCACACAAATTCCCCACTTATGCACAACACACGCTAATAACCAAGTATATACAATATGCAGGGCGATTGATACGGTCCAATCAGCGAATATATGAAGGTCTATCTAACTAGGCGAGATAAGCGGGGAATCTATTCGACAATACATATGTTCAAGCCCAGGAATTAAATGTTGTGTGAGTTGACAGGGCCCAGGCCCGCGTTTGTGTGTGGCCTCGGCCCTGTCATTGTAAGGGGGAAAGTTGTGGGATTGGCTGGATGGGCCATGGAAGGAGCTGCACTGGGGAGTCGTGCTCCTCAGCTCTAGGGTCTGTAAACTGCACTGTCTTCACCCAGCTCTTGTCTTGGCTGGATTAATCAGTTGATGATTCATTCTGCTGTGTCTGGGCATATTGTACTGCTTTAAACTACCCTAGCAGTCCTGTGCGGAGCATGAAGTCAGCCACCAGAGGTGTGGCAGCGGGGTTTGAGATCATTGCTTTGTAGTCAGACCCCACTTCCGGCACAGAGTATTGCAGCTTGGAGAAGAGCTGTTGCCAATTGTGGTGGAACCAGGGGCAGTGGAGGATGACACGTTTGGGGGTTTGAACCACCTCATTGCTGACGGCTCAATGCCGCCTCAGTGGTTGATATCGACAAACGCCACATGGAAGCAAATAAAGAAAGCACTTAGCGCGGTCATAGAGGCCATGGATAAAAACTCACATTTCTTGTAGATAGATTTCTTTTTTTTTCCCTCTGGATTCGATATTCTCGTTGGTGGCTACAATTATTTAGATAGGAATCCAGATCGTTAATATCTACTATTCCGAGTGACAGCGAAGTTTTAAGAGACAAAAAGGAGTACAAAGTGCACAATGCATGTATGCGGTGGCCATAGTCAAAGGATGCTGGCTGCATAGCCGTAGTCCTGGTCCTATCATCATATTATCATATCCGTTCATGCATATGCCCCGGGCAGCATTAAGTCGTATGCTCTGGGCAGTCGAGTAAGAAAGCTCGGGCTGATTGACTATAACTAACCGGAGAAATCGCCTGATTGTTCTGATTGGTGAATCAGAGCAACTGACATATCAGACATTCAGTAACGTATTCCACGGGCGAGCGGCGCATTTTCTCCGCAACCACCAACCAAATATTGAATTACCTACCTCCTTCTACACATTATATCTTCACCATTTCAATCCATAATGCCTAAATCTCAAGAATCTAACATTTAAATGGCTATATCTGCCTATAATTCAAAAAGAATTAGGTCCAAAAAGGAGGCTGCCAAGGCGTTTGGAGTATCTGAAACTACTCTTCGCGAGCGCCTCAAGGGAAGAAAACCACGCTCAGAAACACGCGCAAATAACCTCATATTATCATCTACTCAAGAAGAAATTCTTGTTAAGCAAATCCTGTATGCAGACAAACGTGGTTTTTCAATTTGTCCGGAGTTCCTACGTCAAATGGCTCAGACACTGCTTCAAGAACAGACCTCTATCTCTACTCCAAACATAAGAGTCAACTGGGCACCTACTTTTGTTAAACGCCATCCGCAACTGCGCACATGGTTCAATCGGCAAATACCATACCAGCGGGCGAAGCAGGAGGATCCAAAAATCACCAAGCAATGGTTTAATATGATATTAGATGTCACGGAGTACAGGCATTCACCAACAACGCAAGATGTTTGTATACTTTGGCCTGTTTGAATATAGGGCAGGAACCCCCTTCGCACACAAGATAGCGCAGCGCTAGAAGGCCCAGCTTCCTTCTTTTCTTCTCCATGTTAGTATTTCGACAGAGAGTCTACCAATGAATTTATATTGTTCGAGACTGTCACATTAGAGGCGATTCAAGAGCATGGGATCCATGAAGATGATATCTGGAATTTCGATGAGACTGGCTTTGCAATGGGTCTCTACAGCCTCTGAAGTTATTACTGCAGTCGAACGCAGTGAAAGACCATGTACAGTTATCCAGGGGAACCATGAATGGGTCACAATCATTGAATGTATAGGGTCAAATGGATGTTCAATTCCTCCAGTGGTGATCCTTGAAGGGAAGGAATATCAGGCTTCTTGGTATCAAGAATCAGCTCTTGTCACCGGCTCGGAATAGTAGATAATAACGAACTGAATTCCTATCTAGACTATTGTAGCCATCGACGAGAATATCGAATCTGGAGAAGAAAAGAGAAGAGGAAATCTATCTAGGTAATGAAGGGGTTTTATAGAGGTTGCTGGCGTCATGGCTGAGTAGCAGCATTTGCGATGTATCATTCATTGCTGCAGTGTTGAGCCGTCATATATGAGCCGTCATGTGAGTCGTCACAAACAGGATCAAACATTTATGGTCAGGTTAATATGCAAGTTTAAGTTTCGATAAAAAAAGCCTATTGAGGCTTGTTATCTAATGATTCAAGAGCCTGCATTCAAGCAAGAAAGAAGGAAGGAAATATTCCAAGTTTGAAGCCGCCGCCAGCGTGCTCCTTGGGCAGAAACTTCGCCTGAAATTTATACTCTAACCTTAAGTTATTCGATAACTGCTACACTTTCTCTGAAAATGGGGTCAAAGTTTATGTTGACTTCCATATATGCCAAACAATTGATATTCTCGCTACTCCGACTGACCAATCCGAGCCTGACTATCCTGCCTATCTACGACGTAGGACTCATGGCTGCCCGAGCATATGCATGAATGGATACAACTATATGATGATAAGACTAAGGACTACGGTTATGCAGCCAGCATTCACATCGATGGCTACAATATCTTATGTAGGAATTCAGTTCATTAGTATTTAATATTCCGAGAGAGTGACAATGTGTGAATTCCAAAGAATTTCATTAGTTCTGTCGCTCATTGGGTATCTATGAAGAGGTAACCATTTGTTCCAGTGTTGGCTATAGTAGCCAGTGAACTACTGATTCGATTATAAGCTATCTGACTATTCACATTGAATCCTTGTCATCCACTCAGTTGACTAAGATCCAACTCACCTAGGTTGACGCCATCTAGCCTTAGGTCAGAGACTTTCTCCTGAGCTATGTCATGGAACGCGAGCGCTCGCCAGGGGCATGATATGCCTAAATACTTTTGAATCAAAGTACTTCCTCGATTCGTACTGACAGTTAGGTAACGAGACCAGTAGGGGGTAGGCCCTAGGCCTACCTCCGTGACTCAAACAGTCTGTTATAGCCCCAGGAGCTGGATACGGACTATAAATTTGATCAATAATAATAATACTACTACTACTACTACTACTAATAATAATAATAATCATAATCATGCTGTGAGCTATCTTGAAACTCCTTCCCTCTGCGACCTTTGCAACTTATCCTTTTGGTCTGGGCTCTTATCGCACCCAGAAGAAGAAGAAGAAGAAGAAGAAGAAGAAAGGAGAGCTGCAAATTTAGCCAACGCTGCTTTACTCGATTTCTCGGCCAAGTCTCTGAATCTGGCCAGATAACTGACATGAGCGCTTCCCTTTTCAAATCATATCTCAGAAAATAGGTACATCTACTACGCATCTCTTTTCTTAACATGGTAATTCTCAGAGTCCAATCCTGCATCATGCCTGATAATGCCATACATGGCCGCCGAGTCCAATGGCCTACCTCCCTGCTCGGAATAAGTACTGGCACGTTTTAGATGGTTCAGCGCAAGCCCAGACAGGCCGACATCGTCCTGCTGATGCTGACCTCTGGCAGCTCCAAGGCTGTCTGCCTCACCCACCACCAGATCTTAACAGATATTGCTGGCAAATACTCAATTTATGAACTGCCGGAAGGCCCTTCTTTCCTGGACTGGATCCGCCTCGACCATGTTGCTGCTATTGTCGAAATCCACCTCCAGGCTCTCTTTGCACGCAAGGACCAAATCCACGTCCAAGCCCCTGATTTCCTCGCTAACCCTCTCCAAAATGTCAACCTCACCCATAAGCACCGTGTTTCTCGTACATTTGCCCCTAGCCTCTTGCCATACTCCGTGCTGCCCTTCAGGGTCTGGAGGCGCAGAGCAGCCCTTGCAATTGGGACCTCAGCTGTCTGAAATACATCGCCTCTGGAGGTGAGGCTAACGTCGTCAAGACCTGTGATGTTGTTTCGCAGCTCCTGTCCCAATGCAGTGCGCCTGTCCATGTCATTGTTCCTGGTTTTGGTATGACTGAGACATGCGCTTGTTTCATCTTCAAAACCAAGTGCCCAACATACAACAAGGAGCGCTCTTTGGAGTTCACCTCCGTCGGTGCTTGTATGCCCTGTATCAATATGAGAATCACCGAGGGATCCAACAACGAGACCATTCCGGTTTGCATTGTCGGTAACCTCGAGATCAGCGGCCCTATCGTCTTCAAGAACTTTTCCAACAACCCCGCTGCAACCTAGGCGTCCTTCTCCAGCGATGGCTGGTTCAAGTCTGGAGACAAGGGTCCCATTGATGAGACCGGCTATCTCACTCTGCATGGTCGTGCCAAGGAGGCCATTATTATCAATGGTGTCAAGTACAACCCTCACGGGATTGAAACCGCCCTGGACGAATCGGAAATTCCTGGTCTGACCCCTAGCTTCAACTGCTGTTTCTCCTACTTCCCCGCTGGATGTGAGACTGAGGAGATCTGCATCGTCTTCTTGCCTAGTTTCGCCCCTGTAGACACCGTCACTCGTGTCGAGACTGTAGATGCCATTTCCAAGTCCGTCATGATGGCGACTGGATCCAAGGCTCAGGTCTTCCCCTTTGACCGACATCAGCTGCTCTTGGTAAGCTGTCACGTAAAATGGTCAAGACTGCCTACCAGAAAGGTGGGTACAAGGCTTGCAAGGATGTCAACAACGAGACCATCTCGCAATACCGTGCTGTCACCCACCAGAACCCCCAGAACGAATTGGAGCGGCAGCTTCTTGACATCGAAATAGTTTTCGGGCATCCCGAGGCAGCGGATTAAGATGTCAAAACCCCTGTCTTCAACGTGGAAATCACTTCCGTGAACCTGATCAAGCTGAAGAAGAACTTTGAGGAGCATCTCAACCTCACTAGGGGACACCCATGGTCACCCTAATGACCAATACCACCGTGCAGGGCCTCGCACCATAACCCTCTAACTCACTTGAGATGCACTCACCGAACTATTGTCCACAGTTAAGCCACACACCGGTGAGTTAGTAGCCGGGTGGGTGACCACCAGCGAATCCCGGCTGTTGTATGTATGTATGTATGTATGTATGTATGTATGTATGTATGTATGTTTGTTTGTTTTTTTCGACAGTCTTGATGGCATTGTAATGGTTTGGAGTGTCTGATTATGGCATAATGCATTGAATTCGAAGAGCTGACCAACTCGCTTACCGGTTACGTTAGCTGCTCCTGTTTATTCATTCATACAACGCCTAGATTGATCCCATGATGCCGCATGACAACGCCTAGACCGTATGGTCCGAACACGTGCTCGCTGGGGCTGTTCCAGACCGACTCAAGTAATGAAGCGGCTTGCACGCAGTGATTCATGCGGAATCGGGTGGACCGCAGGCCAGCCTGGAGACGCTTACGGTGGTCCGTCCGCCCCATGCAGGAGCCGGCGATCATCAATGGACACAAAAGAATGGTCTCGCAGGGGGATTCAGAAACTTGCTCTGCGTATAGCATAATAGTATCCACATGGTCCAAGATTTTGGTCCGCGTTAAGGTGTCATTCAATGAGCGGGGGAACATTGCAGTCTCAAGATAGAGTAGGGCGGCTTCGCGGCAGAGCTCGAGTGCTGCTTCTCTTTGGGGCTGCCATTTTTGGTCGGGGACTATGGGGTCTGTAGATTCCCATCCTGTTATTCGGACATGGAGTGCTTGGTACATCTCTGAGCTCGCCCGCGAAGGGTCTTTCTCTGTGAGACGCCGGGCGGCGAGAACCGCAATGAAGGGCAGGACCTTGAACAGGCCATGGCTACCGCCAAAGATGGCCCCACATGTATCAAACTGGGCCATGGTGTCTACGATGTCATCGAGGAATTCGTCCTGGGGTAGGGTTCGACTTTCGATAGCGCCAAAGGGGGTGATGTTATTGATGAGCACGAGATAGCGGTAGATTTCCAACAGAAAGGAGAACAGGCGGCCGTTGTCATTAGTGCTGGACTGCAGTGGACTATTGGCTAATTGGAGGATGAGCTGGCGGCTTGCGCGGAGGTGGCTGAACATTGCTCCTTGAGTATTTCCCATCAGGCTCTACACATTCCATTAATGAGACTATTTTAAAGTAAGGCCTGAATTAATGGGCACACTTACCTCAAAAACAGAGAGCATCATTAGTGCCAATAGGATACGCATTGCTCGGGACGCATCCATTGCTGTAAAATCGCATATACAGTTTCGAAGCGTTCTAATCGCAATCGAATAGTGTCGGCACGTGGCCATGTATACTTCAATCCCAGTGCTCTGGAATCCCATGTGGGAGCCACTGAGCGCCAACAACGAGTGCATGAGCAGATCATCATTGCAGCACAGCGGCACGAGGACTGTCAAGAACGGGTTGTTGCCGCCTGGCGGCAAGGCAGACAGAAGGCTGCCCGTTTCAGCCAAGTAATGCGCGAAAAGGATATTGGATATATCTGTCAGCGCGGATGCCCTTAATGGAGACAGAAACGAGCCAGTGCGGATTGACCATCGAACCGATGTGTCAACCTGATCTGGACTGCTCGTACGTTCTTGTGGCACAACGTAGGGTACCGGGTCCCGGACATTCCGACTCATGGGAGCGGCTGGCCAGGTGCACTGTTGGCAGTTTCGTGTGCAAGCAATGCATTTTGGCTTCCTCTCGTCGCACTTCTTCTTGCGCCGACGGCATGTCAGGCATCCTGATGAGGAGCGGAAACGGTGTGGTTTTGTTGGGACTGGGCCGGAGCGGGCTGGATCGGGCTCCGCGGGATTCGAATCTGGTGCCAACATGGTATACGCTGAATGGGGCACTGCAGGAAGTAAATGTAGGTGAGGGTTCAGGCAATGGGAGTATGATACGATTTCTGAAGAAAATGTGGATATATGACTGGGTGGAGCAAGATCTGCACCAATCCGGATGAATGGCGCCTCGTGACTGGCGGCCTGCAAGTATACAACGCGGCATCTCTTATCAATTGCCGCGCTTATCGTCATTCTCCGTTTCGGCAGACTATAGATATGGGTTCTAAAGCCAACCTGCGCTGCGGATTATCGATGGGATCAGACGGGAACCCTTTTTGATTTCTGTTTTATGCGGTACAGTTTTGATCATCTCTGGGAAACACCATGTCCTCCCCAGATTCTGTTTCTCTTCGAAGCACGCCCAAGCAGGCCGATGTGCTCGTGGTTGGTGCAGGACTGAGCGGCCTCCGCGCCGCTTTAGGCGTCCAAGCGGCTGGATTGTCCTGCGTTGTCGTGGAGGCAATTGATCGTGTGGGGGGTAAGACTCTCACGGTGCCGTCGAAGCACAGCGGTCCCGGTGTCAGCGACATCGGTGGTGCCTGGATCAATGATACGTCGCAATCGGAAATGTATCGGTTGCTCCAGAAATACGGCCTGCACGGAGAGGTGCAGAGGGCAGAAGGTATGAACCTAGTGCAAGTTCCCGATGGAATCATTGCGCATCCGCACGATTCGCTGCCAGTGGGGTCCCCTCGATGACTACTAATAGTACGAGTGTTTCTGACCGAGGTATTGCTTCAGTTCGAGGGAAAAGACCAAATTTTGGTGGCATCAGCATTGCAGCATTTCCGAGAGGTGATCGAGGAGATTGACCTGGAGAATCCAGCAACTGGAAAGGCTGCAAAAGAGCTAGATAGCATGACATCGACCGAGTACTGCCACAGAACTTTTCAGTCTGAACTGGTCACCGGTCTCGTTGACACCGCCGTCCAGTCTATGGTGGGCGTTGAAGGAAATGCGATCAGCATGCTGGCCTTTCTACAAGGCGTCAAGACTGCGACTGGAATTGATGCGGCCTTGTCCGACGGCAAGGACGGAGCACAGTATCTGCGGCTTCGAGAAGGTAATCAGAACACAGGATCCTTTGGGACACACAGTTAATTCAAACATCGAATAATAGGAATGCAAACTTTCTCGCTGAATATGGCCGAGGATCTGAAACCCGATACTCTCGTCCTCTCGGCCCCGGTGACGTCCATCGAGCAATGCCCGCAGACGCGCCTCTGCACTGTCCGAACATCTTCCCCCACTCACAGCATCGTTCAAGCAAAGAAAGTAATCCTATCTGTCCCGAGAACCCTGTACAACAAAATCGCCTTCAACCCTCCCCTCCCCTCCGCCCAAAGCCGCTTCGCAGATAAAAACATAATCGGCTACTACAGCAAAACAATCTACGTTTTCGACCAGCCCTGGTGGCACACTGCCGGTCTCTCGGGGGCTGTTCAAACCCAATTTGGGCCTATTCTGTTCTCTCGCGACACGAGCGTCCCAGCCGACGACCAATGGTCAATCACCTGCTTCCTCGTCGCCGACCGTGGCCGCGAATGGTCGCTGTTGTCCCAGGCTGAACGGCGCCGTACGGCGTGGGAACAGTTCCGCACCATCTTTGAGGGAGCCGGGACGCCGTTAGAGAAACTCAATGTACCTGAACCGATCAACGTCCTGGAAATGGAGTGGTCCAAGGAGGAGTTCTTCGGAGGTGCGACTTGCCCGGTACCACCCCCTGGGCTAATTTCTTCCGTGGATGCTTCGGCTGCCCGGACACCATTTGATAATATCCATTTCGTGGGGACTGAGACTGCACTCGTCTGGCGGGGTTATATGGAGGGGGCGGTTCGCTCAGGGGATAGGGGTGCACAGGAGGTTATTGGTGCGTTGAAAAGGGTAGAAAACTGATCAGTGGTCAACAAGGATGAACAATGATATTATATCTAGCTATTGGATTCCACGGCTTATTTGACAGTTACAGGAACAGCTTGTTCTTTTTCTTTCTTTCTTTTTTTTTTTTTTTTTTTTTTTTTTTTTTTTTTTTTTTTTCCTATATGAGAAACAGACAACAGACACCCATTTATTGTAACCTCGGTGAATTCAGTTTCGAACTAACTAGCTAAATGGTTCAAATTCTTAGAAAACAACTATTCTCGAATTTCATCTTTCTCCTTTAAGCGCAAATCAAGTCTCTTCAGAATTACTGTTGCAAATCGTTCAGGCCAGAGTCTTGGACAAAGTGCGTCCAGGGACGAACTCCGTCCCACAAACATTCTCAGAGAAGGGTAACTATAAACAGTCTATCGATTCTGATGCGACAGAGGTTGCACTACGAGCGCCAGAGATCAATTATTTTCGGAAATCTGAAATGCAATGAATGGTGGTTAATTTGCCGCATCAAAATACCGCGCCATATAACTGCGCAGTGCAACACAAGTTGGCCAAATACAACAGCTGCGGGTGAATTCTGACAGGAGGAATCCTGGGCATCCAACCAATTCCGTTTTGTAGCTGGACATGGAATAGGGGATTCTCAGTTATCATGCCATTGGCGGCATGCGTCCTCACCAGCAGGAAGAAGCTCACCAGGTTCCTGGTTCCAAAAGCGTTCTTGCCGCAGATTACACGAATCCTCTAATAGCAACCCAGTAGCTTTCTGAGCATAGAAGTCACCCACATACCGTTCTTTCGTCAGACTTCGATAACGGACGAGCATATCCAGGAGCAATGCAATCCTCACAAGGATATGATGCGGTCAGCTAGTATCATGCTAGCTACACCAGATCATGTCATCTTTCACACTGCGTGGTCTGCGACAAGTGTCCGATTTAAAGTGCTTTGGAGCGCACCAAACCATTGCCATCCAGAGTGATTGGACCGGATGTGCTGTGGTATTCTGGATAAGTGAGACTGTACTCGCTACAAGGACCCAACTTTTTTATCCAAGCGGTGCACTGTCAGCCATCGATGGACATCCACACAGATGGGCGGTTGCTGGGGCTATACTTGGCTTGATCGACATGATTTTCCCCATAACATTGATTTGATAGACTGAGATTTCTCGAAGAGGCGTGTTGAGATGCTCAAGCTTCACACTGTTTTCTCGGGGCCCGCGGACCACGGGCAGGGCACGTGCACGGAACGATGAAGATGGAGGTCTTTGGCTACATACCGGATCTTGCATACGCGAGCATTTTGCCACGACCGTATGCATGTTGCCACACGCACACAACGTTCGGGACCGGGCGATTGGGCCATGCAACGATGTAGACTCCCAGCCAGTGGAAGGGTCAAGCTTTCTGAGATGGCGCATTCATGTCCTGGGAATAGAAATGGTATTCGTAGTGCATATCGGTCGTAGCCTTCTTGCTGGCGGTGTCTCCCTTGTTACCTCGGTTGGTACTTCGAGACAATCTATGTGGGAGAGACGTGGCAATATGAGATCTGGCTCGTTTACCTCTGTTTACCGGATGATCCCTTTGGGACCACCATGATCCACATATATTCCCATATATTAGGCTCCCCTCCCTTCGCTGTCCGTTCCTTTTCGTCTCTGATTCAGCGACGAAACCCTCGACGGGGTATCAATTGACAATGAGTGCGAGAAGACCCAAGGATGTCGAGCTATCTGACGATATTGATTTCATCAAGACACCCGCAGCTAAGCCCTCAGAATTTGAAACCGGCGAAGACTGCGGGATTGCCTTGACCAATGTGAGTCCCTGTCGTTGTTAACTACCTGATCAAAAGCTTGCTAAATCCCCCGGAGTCCCCAGCCATTCACAATGCTCCGTTGCCAGCCGACGGTGCTGGAAACGAGAGCTTCTCCAACCTCCTATTAGCGGGGGCCCTCACCGGAGTCCCCAGTCTTCTCACCTTCCTGCTGGGTGGTGGAGTGAAAACGTTCGTGTTCCTTGCCCTCCTTTCGGTCCTTCCTGTCTTGGTGGCCTTTTGGACGTGGACTTCTACCTGCAGTCCACGCACCAACAACAAAGTAAAATTGCCTGGCCGAAACGTTGAACATTATGTGACCTTCAAGCGCGAAGAGGATCGGTCGAGATGGCAGGGGAAAAACAAGATCCCCATGCAGACCTTCGCTGAAATGTACTTGGACGGCTTGGTGGATTTTAACGGCGACGCACTCGACGTCATGGAATACCGGCACGATTGGGCGAACTTCGCATTTACCTGGCAGTTGTTCAAATTCATCGTTTTCACCTTCTTCATCAATGTTATCTTCCACACGAAGGCCCAGGATGAGGAGCAGATCCGCCCCAATTACGACCGCGGCAATGACCATTACGCCTGGTTCCTCGGCCCTCGTATGATCTACACCTCAGGAATCATCTCGGATCCGGAGCAGGAAGAAACCCTGGAGGAATTACAGGATAACAAAATGGCGGTCGTCTGTGAAAAGATTGGCCTGAAAGAGGGCGAGACGATGCTGGATATTGGCTGCGGCTGGGGAACCCTGGCCAAATTCGCCAGTCTAAATTATGGTGCCAAAGTGACTGGACTCACCATTGCGGAGAACCAGACCGCTTGGGGCAATGACGCTCTCCGGAAGGCCGACATCTCCGACCAACAGAGCCGGATCCTCTGTATGGATTACCGCGACGTTCCCCGCGCGCAGTATGACAAGATCACGCAATTGGAAATGGGCGAGCACGTCGGTATCCGGAGACTTACCGGATTTTTTCGCCAGTGCTATGACATGCTCAAGGACGATGGAGCCATGTACGTTCAGCTTTCTGGCCTGAGACAGGCATGGCAGTACGAGGATTTTATCTGGGGCTTGTATTTGAACAAGTACATCTTCCGTGGTGCGGATGCTTCGACTCCTCTGTGGTATTACGTTAAGTGTTTGGAACAAGCTGGATTCGAGGTCAAGGGGTGAGTCATGACTGGATGCATTTTCTTGATTGTACGGACATTGACGGCGGACAGGATTGATACTGTCGGTGTCCACTACTCTGGAACGCTCTGGAGATGGTACCGTAACTGGACTGGAAACGTCGAAGCAATCGAGGCCAAGTATGGACCAAAATGGTACAGGGTGAGTGTATTCTTTGGTTTGTTCTTTTGTTGTGATTAAGCCTAATTCTCGATAGATTTGGGAACTCTTCCTCGCCTGGTCCGTCATCGCTTCTCGCCAAGGTTTCGCCACCTGTTACCAGATGGTTGTCGTTAAGAATCTGAACTCGACGCATCGAATTAACGGGGTTTCCACTCAGTTTGGCCTGGCGGGTGCCCTCGACGCCAGCAAGAAGGCGGGCAAGTCACGGCTGCCTTGAAGAGATGGTTGGTGTTGTGAACTGCCCATCGAACGCATCATCCCCGGCTTCATAGCTGGTGGTGTAAAGGCTGGTGATGGAGTTGCTTGTGTCATTGACGACAATTAGAGGCTCAATTCCGCTTTCTGTTTGATGTACTTTCTGCACTGCAATACAATGGTAAACCCATTTTCCCTGTGCTATCACAACTAGTTTATATAACATGCTCTACATGCGAATATCACACGGGCGAATGTCACGAAATCGCTCCGCCGTGATTTCAACTCCAACATTTCCACCAATGCACATATATTCCATTAAAACTACTCAGAATCGCCTTCCTCAGACATCTCTACTACTATCTGACAGGAACTTGCATTGTGTCTGGCCTTTCCACAATTGTCACAGCGCCGCGCGCGTATCTCAGTCCGTAGTTGCCAACCAGCCCCATTGCATGTTTCCTTCTTTAGTTGTACCTTAACCTCTATTTGATCCCCTAATTCCTGAGCTTCCTGTATAGAACGCGATCCTCCTTTCCTTAGACGTATTTTTTAGCCCTCCGGCGTTTGCTAAGGGCCTCATTTGCCGTCCGAAGTTCACAAATATCTGTTTCCATCAAATCCATCTTGTGCATTATCTTCATCGTGCCTTCCGCGAGGATATCAAAAGCGTTCATGATTGATGAGGGAGAGCTATCTTGGTGACGAGATATTTGGCTTTTTATAAGGTTTGTCTGGGATGATGCCTCAATCGGGTTATTTGGCGTTTTAGAAACCCAGTTATGGGAGCTAGTCAGCCGCGAATTCGACGGTGTTGGGCATTTTAAGTTGGACATCAAGCTTAGATATTACCCTCTCAGGGTCAAAAGGGATAAAGTCAGCCCCTCGAAAGCCACCTTCGCTATTTTTTTCTGTCATGGTGGCTTGGTACGCGGCGTAAAACGCAGGAAAGATATTTTCTTTGGTGACATAGGTAACATACGCCTGCATAAGCCCTTCAATATGCTTACCATAGGCAATCTTCAAAAGGCTAAAGTATCCGAAATCAAGAGGCTGGAGGATATGGGACGAATGCGCAGGCATGCAAAGTGTAATAATCTTATTATCTTTGCAATAGAACTCAAAGTCAGTTGAGTGGTGACTTGCATGGCCATTAGGCCTCGAAATGGTGCGGTCCCTTGCGGTCTTGACCGCGGGGGACCGCAATTGCATAAAATTGCCAAGACTTTCCTTTTTCGGCTGGATAATTTGCTGATTCATCTGATTTTTTTACCATTATTAAATACTGTCTTGGTTTGTATATCAAAATCTCCTGTAATCATACAGAGGTAAATAGTATTTTGCCAATTTCTTGGAGTTATACAATAATTTTTTACCAAACTACAGTTGGATTTAATGATCAATATACAACGCAATGCCTTTCAGTTATAGGTTGCCGTTAGATATGGATTTCATCAGCATTCAGCAGCCTACAGACCAGTTCATCTCATATACTACAGGCTGCTGGGTATATATATATATATATATACATGGGTAGACATTACGGAGTAAATATGAATTGCTGTGCAACTTCGGAATGTATATAAATATATGGCTATTTTTGCTTCGGAGATGGTTGATAGCGGAATGAGACTGATATAGATGATATAAATATAAATGGAATATTAATTGTATTCAATGCTTGATGATGCTGTGCGTTATTAGTTATTGTCACAGATTACAATGTGGCTTGGACTTTGGAGAATCTGATTCCAATCCTATCCAACTTTAACCGCAGTTGGTTTAGTGTCACTAAATGCGGCTTTTGCAGCTTAATCCGTGCCAAACTGCTCTGAATGCAACTCTATTAGCAACCATCTATTTCTTCTGGTTAAAAAACTCTATTAAGTCTCTTCTACACACTCCCCTTCCTATCATAATTCACACAATGTCACAGAGCCAGGCCTCTCAGTTCTCTGAGCACTATTCCTCATCATTTTTGGGGGAAAACCTGTTGGATAGCCCCTGCTTCCTTCCATCTGATGGGTCATTCAACCCTTTGCACAGCCCAAACATGCCAAATCCCAGCTCTAGCTCTAGTTTCACACAGCCAGTGCCTCCGCCTCCTATTCCTGAGACACTGGAACGCGTTGGTCCTGCAAAGAAGAAGATTTATATCCTTTGGACGGAGATGGTGAATGATGACTTTGTCACATGGTGGTTGAAGACTGAGTATGGAAGTGAGATGAAACGGAATATCTTCAAGGGTAAACACCATGCAGAGTCCTGGGATATTTCCATCAAGTAGTTGCTATCCAGGATGGATCCCCTAAGGTTATGTGTAAGAAATGTGACCATATCCTTGCCCATCCTGCTGACCGCCACCGTGGAACATCTACTATGAACAGACACTATTCACAAGGGATCAACTGTCAGAAATTGGCACCTCAATCGCAGGATATTCGAAGGCTGATAAATAATGGGGTATAGATATCTCTATCTTTCATCTGAACCTCTACTTATCTTACTAAAACTCCTTATTAGGCACACCGAGCTCTTCAAAAAGCATCTTTCATTCAACAAGCATGGATGGAGAGGATAATTACCTTCATAACAGCCTTGTAATAGGCCGAAGCCTTACTATCTAGTATATAGATATGTACAAAAAGAACTCGTTGAAGGAAGGAAGAATCGTTAGTAGTAGTAGTAGTAGTAGTTGCTATTTAACGTCGGAGGTGGGACGTGCGTCAAATCACGTGCCCACAGAGATCCCGGAACGGAATATACGACGGGCGAAGCGGGCTCGCCTATCTAGTAGCTAAACTAATTCTATCATACATGCTGGCAGAAGCTCCCAGATAGGAGCTTGCCTAAGATTCTTGGGCCGCAAAGCGGCAATATGCATTCTGTGGAGGAAAGGGGACGAAGGAAAGGAGGGGTAGGAGAGGAGGGTGAAAAGTTTTCAAAGTGGGGGATTTAGTGTGCTGGGCATACTGTGTGGTAGAAGTGAGATCTTTGCAGCCATTTGTGGAAGTTTCTTGTTCCTGACTTCGTGCGCAGGATCTCATCTACCTGCTGGTTTCCCCATGGGTGTGGGGACGCCTTGCGGCCCTTTCTGCAGTAGTAGAAGTGGTGGGGGGTCTTTAAGTTCCCACATGAGCATTCTAACTTGGCATCTTCGTGTCCAAAACGCTCATGGTATTCGGCAAAGTCTCCATGGCCTGTCCGGGCGGCTAGAAGTCGGCCGAGGATGCCTCTAGGGAGGGATAGTTCGTGGGGTTGTTTGACCAGGCTAATAGAGAGATCCTGGTATTGCTGTGGTGCGTTTTTATTCCAATATGACTGAAAACGTCGCCAGAACTCCTCCTTCATGGTTCGGCAGGCCCAGGCGTATCTTGCAAGGGGGGGAGTGATCTGTGGGGTAGATCTAGCTCCTCTTTTTGCTTGCTCGTCTGCAATTTCGTTCCCTCCAATACCTGTATGTCCAGGGATCCAGCAGACATGCACCTTTCCAGGTGGGATCGCCGTGCATCGGGGAGACCGATTGGGCCAAGCATTTGCGGCTTCTTGGAAGGCCAGGATGGTGTTCTGACTGGAGCCCCTGGGGAAGCCCTGCAGCTGTCGTGCTACTTCCTGGTTGTCAAGGAGGACATATAGGTTCCGAGTAAAGGGTGCCTGGGTGCTGTTGAGAGCAGCCTTCAGCCCCTCAGTTGCTGCAGTTGCCTCTGCATCAAAAACCTCGTGTTGTGGGAGAGAGAGGTGACCGCAGGCAGACTCTTTCTTCCATATGCCCCAGTATCCAAACCAACCAGCGCCAGCTGCAGTGTCTGAGCTGTTCAAGCGGCTGCCGTCTGTGAAGAGGAACATGGAGAGTGGGGGGCATGAGTCTGCCCAGTACTGAAAGTCTGCACAAGCTTTGTCTCGGATGGAGCAGATATTTTGGAACGTGCTGAGGTTCTCTGGTTGCCAAGGGGGATAGATCAGAGGGTCTGTCTGTTCTGTTCTCTCCAGCCATGGCAGGTGATTGCGGGTTAGGCGTGTATTTAATAGGGAGGGTTGTGTTCGAAGTGAGCGTCTGAGAATTGGGTGGCGGCTGTCCAGCCTGGAAGCACGCAGTCTGGCAGCGGCGCGTTTTTGGTCAAGGATGATCTCCATAGGGGGGATTGCAGTCTCCCGATGGAGGACTGGAATAGGGGTGGTGCGGTATGCAGGAAGGGTTCCCCGGAGGGCTTCTCTAAGCACCCGATCAAGGCATGATAGGGCAGAGTCGACTCGGTTTGATATATATGTCTGGTTTCGGGGCCTGTGTCGGCCCGGCCACCAGGCCTCAGCTCCATAGCATAGGACTGAGATGACACAGGCAACTGTGGCTTGCCGCAGCAGTCGTGTGCTGGCGCCTCGGACTGTGTTGGCTAGTGATTTGATTC